AAAAAAAAAAAAAAAAAAGAAAAAGAAAAAAGAAGGAAATAGCACCTGAAGCGTCCGGAGTCCGGCGGTCGCTCGAGGGATTGTTTAGGGCAGGCGTACGCAAATGCAACCAGTAAAGCAACCGAAAGAAATTATCTCTGCAAATACTGCAAAAGTTACCATAATTAAGATGTTCCAAGACCGTTTCCAGCAAAGCATCTCGCCAGACTGGAAAACGAAAGCAGACAACATAGACGGAACAAGGTACACACGCATACCTCGGAGAAATTGAGCGCTGAAGCCGAATTGAGCAAAGCAAGGGGCGGAAAAACCCTAGAACAAGCTTGTTTGAGAATTCAAGAATCGGAAAATAAAGCGACGGAGAGAGAGAATCTGGAAGGTTCTCCACTGGCGCGTGAAGGGTAACGTAAGTTGGTGAGAGACGGTCTTGAATTGTCCACCGACTCGGCCCAACTGGACCAACTCATTTCGCCATGTAAATTTACCCATTTCTCCTTTTCTCCAGTCTGGCATTACGAATATAGAACGTAACAAAATGTCTGTTTAAAATAAAATATTTATAAATAAATAATATTTTCTTTTCTTTTTATAATTACGTTCAACAAATTTATTACTATTAGTTTAAATTAACCGATTTAATTTTAATTCATGACATGTTTTCAATTTTAAGTTTTAAAATTTATTTAAGGATGAATTTAATAGATCACCACTTTTATTTATCATATCAATTAGATTAATTTGTATAGTTGATTTTATAAATTTAGTTAATGATTATTAATATATTTGTACAAATCAATTAAATAATAAATCATTTAGATTAGAATATAGACACATTTTTTTTAATTTAATAATAAGCTTTATTTTTTTTTCTACCGTGTGTATTCATGAATATAATCTTTAATAAATAGAGCGGTAGGCTTAAAATATCTTAAAATAATCTTACTCTACTTTTAAAATTATTATAAAAAATAATCTTAAAAATATTTAACGTTTGTATCTTAGTAAAATGTTGTGACCTATGAATGTTCGATATTTAAACTTCAAAAATTTATTAGGATAAGTATGATTTTTTAAAATAATTAAAAAACTAAATTAATAAAAATACACAAAAACTTAAAAATAAAAAAATAAAAAATAACCTTAAATTAAAAAAAATGTATTATTAATGTTAATTTTGGATGAAATATATAATAATGTGATTTTTTTTTTTTAATTTTTGAGTTTTATAAATTTAATTATTTATGTGATACGCATATTTTTTTTTTTTTTAAAATAGTTAAAAATAAGTAATCGAACCACTCAACCCAACCGAACCAACTCGGTTGGTTCAACTTTTTTCTTTCCAAACGGTGCATGTGTGTAAGCATCTGTCTGGAATTGGATCGGGCGACCGTCTTCTTCCTGCTTCGAGGCAGCCCTTTTTCGCGCTCTATATTCATTGTTTTCGCCATAACCAGAGGGAAAAACTCGGGCAATAGGCTTGAAATTCTCCTCTCTCCGCCTTGGTTAGCAGCAACCCTCTTGAACGCTTGCTTACTCGTTCACTTCTCATTCCTCATCAAACCGTGGAAACTTTCCTTCCACCTTCAATTTTTTGGGTCTTTTCTTACAGAACTTGGGAAACCCTCTGTTCTTGAACCTTTCTTGTTATCTTTGCAGCACGTTTTTCATTATCTAATGCTGATAAAGATGAACTATGGGTATTAGCTTGAACATGGAGTAGCACGCTATGTTTCGGATGTTAGAATGAATCGTGGTATCAGTTCTGATGAGCTCGACCATCTTTCGCTGGCCGTGAGGCGGAAAATGCTACAGGAAAATAAGCTCACATTATTGGAAGATGAGAGTAAAAGAATATCAACGTATGTATTTTTTTTCACTAATTTTGTTTTGGGTACGAAAAGATTCAACTCTCTCTCTGGCCTTATGTAGGTTTGTCAAGAAAGAAAATGAATGCTGTGATTTACAGGTAATATATGGATGCCACTTCAACTTATTTCAAGTTTGCCTTTGTTCGTGTTAACTTGAGAGACACACGATACTAGTCTAATTTCCAAGTGTACTACTGAAATAAACTTGAAACAATGACTGAAGAGAAATAGGAGGATTTCTGGGTGGAGACGGGGAGGGAGGTTTTGTTTTCAATTAGATTCAAGATTCAACATCTTTCTCTGGATGTATATAACCAAGGAGTTTTCAATTATCCTTTGCTTCTTATTTCTTATTAATTTTTTATTTTTGGTTTTGAATGATTTGCCTAGCTGTATGTTTGTTCATTATCTCAATGGTATGGTTTTTCATTGCCGAAAAAAACTATATCGATAACACGAGTTCTAAAGACTCATTTTATTTTATTCGTGAAAGTTTTAATTGCATGAAATTGACATAAAATAACTTATGGTCATTGAGTATAGCTGCAACTTTTGTTATTTATTTATTTTTTTTTTTTTGTTGATTTTCTAATTTGTTATTTGTCCATGCTGCAGGGTGGTTCTACTATGATATCCAGAAATCTGGGAGATCAACAACTGGAAGCAGAAATTAATGATACCAATGGTATTTAGCTTTTTTTTTTTTTGGGGGGGGGAGGGTATTTCTGAGGTATTCTGATTTCATCCACGATTATTCTATAGTTCTTGTGACCTTATGTAGGTCATCTTATGGACAACTACAGTGAGGGGGCTCGATTAAATAGAGAGAACTCAACATTTGAGAACCCAACACCACCTGAGGTTCTAGATCGGGTAAGGGTGGAATCCACAAGCATCTTATCAGGTACCTTGGCAGCTCGTGTAGATAACTTTGCTCCTGCCGGTGTGGCTGTAACTAAGGTTAAAAATGAGATGTTTGATGACTTCGATGAAGATCTTGATCATGTTTTATTGATAGAGCGACTAAGGATGCTGCTATCAAGGTTCCACATTTTCTTGGTGATCATATTTTCTCTATCTGCAGTTATCTGTTTATCCACGTACTGTTTATGGCATACTCTTTTCGCCCCATACTTAGACAAGAATATAGAATGGCTCTGATTGCATCTGGTTCTTTTTTGGTTAAAATAATGTTTTAGTCTTTCTGTAATAGTGTTCCTAAACTTTCAATTATTTCAATTTAGTAAGTTATCTAAAATTAATCTTTACCATTAACTTTCTAATAGGATTTTGTAATTAGGACCGTAAACCCTAAACCCTAAACTCATATAACCATAACAACATAGTTCTCAACTACCTAATTTTAAATAAAAATTGTCTAACTAATGAAGCCAAAAATAATGTTTTAACTAAGTTGACAACTGATGATTTTATTTGTTTCAAAAGGAACATTTATAGGACAAGTTCAATACTGTAGTCATAGCAATTTAACTAAAGTTGAGAGATAAAATTGACAAAACAAAAGTTTGGAGATGAAAATGAGAAGAATTAGATTTCATCTGATGTTATTTTTTGTTCCTATTGTAGGCGATCTTTGGGTTTGATGAATCAACATGTGGAGGTAATTCACTGCTCTTCTGTAATTTGTAGTAAAAAAATCTGCAACTTTAAACATCATGGGTGGAATCACACACAAGACCAATGCCCTTGACAACTTTAGTTCTGTTGTATGATAGTGACCGAGAGGAAGGTGGAAATTTTAGAAGTAGAGCTCTGGGATGTGAAATTAGGCATTGCTAGATGCTGCTTTGTCAAACAGAGAGTAATGGGTTAAAGTTGAAGGTGTGGCGGGTCAGCAGCAGTGGCTCTTAAGTTAGGAATGTCAACAGTCATGAAGAAGACTTGCAGAGTAGAGGATTTTCTTTTAATGTTCATGTGGTTGAATAAGTTTGGGATGACAACACAAGAATGGGTTGAACCAATAGAAGGGGGTTGAGTCCCATTTAGAGGGCCCAGGCAAGGGATGTGACAAACGTACGAGCCAACAAGGGAGTGTTTCACTCATTTGATTGACAATGGAAGGTTAGATAAACCCTTGCTTTTCTCCATGGTATGGGAAGATAATTATTCAATTCCATATAAGGTTAAAATTCATCAAAAGGCTATAATTACCAAAGACTTTAGTGTAATTTGTGCACCATCAAGAGGCGGTATGTTGAGCAAAAGCCCAAAAAGAATGAAAAGAGGCAGCTTTATCTTCAAACATCCTACGATTTTTTCTTTCCAAAAACCCCAAAGGAGAGAATGGGTTGCACATCCCCAAAGGTTCTTTCCTCTTCCACCAAAACAATTACCATCAAGTCCATCGAGCAGCCAATCATCGATCCTCTTGGGAAGACAACTGACCACCCCAAACATGTTAAATAAGATGAACCACCTTCGGAAGCAAGATCACAATGCAAAAACAAGTGAATCAGAGATTCCTTGTAACAGCAAAATACATACATGGGAGTCTATCTGCCTTTACTTCTCTTAAATACTTAGTCCACATCTTAGAAAGGAGAGAACTATTGATCTTGGATGCAACTGGTCTATTTCGTGATTTACACCAAGAGAATGAGTCGTTTCGCAAAGGAGCGACTAAATCCACATCTTCTTCAGGGCTTTAAACGTCTTCATACTCTTTGTGGGACAAACTTTAGAATTTTTCTCATAGACCCATCTGAAAATATTAAAATCACTGCCTACACACCATAAGTCGTTACACAACCCATAGAATTCAGACAACTCTCGCTAGAACTCGTCTCTAATTTTTGCAAGAAGAAGGTCACATAGATTCCTATCATCCACCCACCAAAATCAAAATTAGTTTTGAAGTGAATAGAGATGGAGAACAAACCTTAATGGAATAAAAAACTTGGCTAACTTCTTCCTTCCACAAAATTAGATTGCCACCTGAAGAATCAATGGCATCCAAGGCAACCCATCCAATGCGTCTACTGCTCCACACTGATTTCATGAGCCGTCTTTCCATTTCACCAAATTTAGTTTCCTAAAGGATAACTACATCCGGCCTCTGGGTTACATTTAACCATCAACTCTTTTTCTAAGCTCCTAGGATTGAGGTTCTTTCACCATTTTATACATGTCGTATGATCTGAAAAGCTCTTGTATACAACCCAAAAAAAAGGAAGTGGAAGGAGAATAAATAAATGTATCCATGTCATGTTCCAATCCTTTCTCTCTTACGGTGTACTATAACCAAATGATTCCACAATTAGCGATACATTGTCAGGTTACTAGACCTTGGAAATTTAATTTTCCCTGAATTGTTTTATAACCACTATCCATGTGCACAAAGTTTCAAACAAGGGAAAAGGAAAATAGGCATAATTTGAGTTAGAAGTCTCCTTGACGAGCTTAAGTAGCATGAAGGGTATCTTTGAAGCATTACTGATAGAGTATTTGGAAGAGATGGAAGACCCTTCTTTGGATTTCCACACTGGCTTGAGGTAGTAAGACCCACATCAATATGCACATTGAGAGATGGCTTT